CAATCCGAAAGCAAGAGCCAGAAAAATTGAGACCAAAAAGCATGATTATGAAAATCTTTGGAAACTTCTATGAGATGGGGGAGAGTGGAGTAGGCAGCCATTGACAACATTGGTCCTATTTTGTATTATCTGTATAATCTTTTACTATATTTTCATATTTTGTATTTTTTCAATTTGCACTTAATGCCCTGTTAAAAAAAGTAACATTGGGAATGTTAACATAAAATATTTGTATTTGAACTGCAATAAAATGATGACGGATCAATATTTTTCTAATTTTTTTCCTCAAGTGTTTAATTTACATAATGATTTAATTAATCACGATACAAAATTAAGCCTTTAGATACCAGTTTTGATCGTATACCAGTAACTAGACTTTTTTGAAAAAATACACTATAATTCAATATTCTAAAAACTATTTTGACTTTATTATTAGTATAATCAGCTGATCCATCTTAGTAATAAATGAGGGACTGTTAACCTACGAGATTTGTACCATAGACTTCCATTATAACCACATTTTGTTATCCCCTCCCCCCCTTTAAATGAAAGTGAAAAAAATATTTTGCACTGGTTGTCCTCTGCATTTGACCCTAAATGTTAGTGGTGCCATTGCAGCCCGTGGACCGACTCTAATTCTGAGGTGACTTGGTCAAGAGCAATGAAAGGAGTATCTGAACATCCATAACATGCATGTTGTTTTAGGAGTATAATAATTATCTTTTTGCTGGTTGGTCTCCCACCCTCTACGGGTTATCAGCACAAATTATGTCCCCATATGATAAAATCCACCATCCCCCCTGATTTTTTTTTACAACTTGAGTACTGAATATTATGCATTTAAAAGGTTATTTTGTAGTTTCACAACACTTTTACCAACAAACTACAACTCCCATCATGCATTTCCGGTCATATGACGGTTGTATGTTGTGTCATGTGACCTTCACTCGGCTCTGTCAGCGCGTTTCCCTTTTTTCGCAGTACCACAGGCTGCTAACTAAAAACAGCTAGTTTCTCTTTTAAAAAACACCTCCTTTTTTTGACAGGGTGTTTAATGGCTTATAAACTAAACTCCGGCTTTTGCTTTTTACCTTTTGTCTGCTTCCCGGGCTTTGTACAACTCTTTCATGTCAGCTTGTGGTAGACTCCCAGCAGGCCTCTCTGTTCACCGGGGGATCATCAGTCCTCACGCCGCCCTAGTGTGCTTGCCGCTCGGCCACAGAGGCGGCATGGGCCCGCTGTATCGCTAGCCTCTGGATAAAAGCTGTCAAATTGTGGAGGAAGTGTTTTAGCTTGGATGCTACTGCTACCGGTGACTGGCTGTCACAATGAACGGTGAGTTGGGTTGTGTCATTGTCTTTTGTTTTGCAGCATATCATGCAAGAGATTCAATAACTTTAGGATGTTAGATTAAAAGGTTTTACAGTATGTATATGCACAGTAGCTACAGTGTAGTTATGGCAACGAAAAGGTAAAGTCCCAGGCTCCTCCAACAATGCAACATCAACAAATACGAGACATAAAACAATACTAATAGTGCCAGAAGAAACAGAGTACAATAAAGTAGTGCCAGCTTACGTTGAAAGACTAATGTGCAAATAATGCAGGAGAAGTGAACTATATATACATGTCAAATAAAATACAATAAGGTAAATGTTACACAGAATGTTGCTGGAGTTTATATTCATGTAAAATAGAAAAAGATAGACGTTAAAATGTAAAATTAAAGACTGTACAGTGGGATGAATACATTTGGGAGTTGTGGTATTTAGTAACTTCAAGATTCAAAGGCTTTATTGTCTAATGTATAGCCTTTTTGTTGGACAATAAAAGTCTAAAGGCTCCTCCATCAATGCAACATGGAGAAATAAAACAATAACAAAAGTGCAAGACGAAACTTAACTTGAAATAAAATAGTGAAAGAGAAAGTTGCAAGTGACACAGTGTGCAAGCAGAAATAAGTATACATGGAAAAAAGCATAATATACAATATTGTTAGCACTTCCTGTGTTCAGACAGTAAGTTTGGGATGTATGGAGTTACTTCCACAATGTAAATAAACCACAAATGGCTTCTCTGGTTTGTGAAACCGTAATGAATCAATGCATGAAAGAGAAAATGAAAGCCATTCAGCACTTCTCAGGTATTTTTATCTGACTCTTATCCAATGCATGACTAACTGGACCACTATAGAACCACGCCCTCGAAAACGTTACTTTGAAAGTGCTAAGTTAACATGAGAAGCAGATGTATTGGCACCAGCAGTAGCCTGGATGTTAGAGAAGTCGGTGTTAGAATGATAATACAATAACTTCATTTGTAATGCTCCTTTCATCCCGGAGATGCGGCAGAACGGGCTTTACAAGAACGAAAATAGCCATGAATTGAAAATGAAAAAGGGATAGAATTCCATAATCTATTTAACCTAAGATGTGACATAAAACATATTGAACAAAATGAACTAGAATCCATGAAACGCATAACATAAAATGAGTTCCAGCAGAGAGCCCCAAACGTCCCTTTCCCTGGCCACATCAACCAGCTCTGACTGGGGGGTCCCAAGGCGCTCCCAGGCCAGAGAAGAGATATAATCCCTCCCCCTGGTCCTAGGTCCACCCCCTCGGTCTCCTCACTAGGTGCCCGAACCACCTCAACTGGCTCCTTTGGACGCGGAGGAGGAGCGGTTCAACTCCGAGTCCCTCCCGGATGACTGAACTTCTCACCTTATCCCTAAGGGAGACACCAGCCACCCTGCGGAGAAAACCCATCTCGCGCTTGTACCCGCGATCTCGTTCTTTCGGTCATGACCCATCCTTCATGACAGAAAATGGCCCGGTAGACAGAGAGCTTTGCCTTCTGGCTCAGCTCTCTTTTCGTCACAACGGTGCGGTAAAGCGACTGCAGTACCGCTCCCGCTGCTCCGATTCTCCGACCCATCTCACGCTCCATTGTTCCCTCACTCGAGAACAAGACCCCGAGATACTTGAACTCCTTCACTTGGGACTCATTCCCTACTTGGAGTGGACAGTCCATCGGTTTCCTGCTGAGAACCATGAAAAATAAAACCCACTAAATATTCAATTAAAGATCACAACATAAAAATATTGACCCATTTATGCAGAATACACATCACATATACGCAGACAGTACATATATTATATCGTTAGTCACAGGGAAAAGTGACCATAATAAGAATAAATCAGTTCTGTTTTCAATGAACTCTGTGAACAGTGGACTGTGAAACACAAGCTCACCATTGCCTATCATCCACAGACCAACATGACTGAGAGGGTAAATCGCACTTTCAAAAGTATGATAGCCTCTTATGTGGATGATAATCACGGGAAATGGGATCAATACCTTCCAGAATTCAGGTTTGCCATAAACTCAGCTGTTCAAGAGACCACAGGTGTCACCCCTGCAGAACTGCACATTGGCAGAAAGCTGAATAGTCCAGTGGACACAATTCTGAAAGGGAAGATCTTTTCCCCTGAAACCCCTCATGCTGCTTATGAGGTTGTCCAGCATCTGCTTCAACTCAAAGCAGATGTGGAGGAAAGTATAAAAAAAGCCAAGCACAGGCAACTAAGGAACTACAACAAACATCGTCGTACTGTTGGCTTTAAACCCGAGCAAAGAACGGAAATAGTTAATTAGATATTAAGATATTAGTCCGTAGAGTTATTGGTTTTCAGAAACATCTTATTTATTTTAATCTAAATACATAAGAGCACAGTTTTTCCTAGTAAACTCACTATTCTATGTTGCAGACATACTTCAAGTTACTGTTATATTGATTTTGGTTTATGTCAGAGGGTTTTCATGCTGTAGCAATTCATAAATACGTTTCCTCCATTGATTTCTATGACTTCCTCTAGCATCTCCTCTCCTTCTCCCACACGCATTATTAATACAGCAACAAGCAATGACTGGCTAATTGATTTCTCTGAATCCACCATCAAACTGATATCTAATGACTTCCTGTTTGTCTCTGCAGGTCCTCAGCAGAGTGACTCGAAGAGGCAGCACCTCCTGGAGAGGCTGCTGGACGCTGTCAAACAGGTGAGGCACATCTCACCTGTAGAGGAACAGGTTTTATTCTGACCTCTGATGGGGTCAACAAATCACCTCACCTTAAAGGGGATAGGAAGGAGGATTTGAAGTGGGCTTGTATGAGATACTTATCCATAGAAAGTGTTCTTACTCAGTAGATAAGCACACACCTTAATCTCAGCATAAATCAAAGAAATGTACTGTTTAAAAACTCCAAAAATATCAGTATAAATGTAAACTTTATTTGGGATATTTGTATTGCTTTACATTGCTGTCACACTGTTACATTTATTTTTATTTATTTGGCTAATTTACATATGTACATACAGTTTAAGATCAGTAGTTTTAACAGCAACAGGGTTAGGGTGAGAAACAGGACCGCGCAGATTAATACAATTAAAGATACAAATAAAAATAACTATAAAATAAGAAATGAACTCAAATGGAACGAGACATAGAAACATGCCCCACGTGAAAGAAACGAAAAAACTTTTGACATAGATAATAATCGTATTAAGGGGAATCATAAAAAAAGCAAACATTAGTGTGTAGCAGTTTAAAACTTTCTAGAGCCACTTCCAACCGAAGTTTGATTTCAGCGCACAAATAATTCAGAACGATGAATCCATTTATTTTCCATTTGACCACACACCCCTCCCTCCTGTGTGTGTGGTGGATCTGGTTTAGCTTCCCGTGTCTAAAACCAACCCCTTCCCCAAAAACAGACATAATATAGCAAATGGGAGAAAACAAATATATTCAGGGTGAGTAGATAGATATTCAACACATAATATTTGTAGACCAAGTATACTAATAAAACAAGACATGTTAAACAATTAAAAGAGAAACAAAACTTATATAACAAACTCAGTTAATGGCTCCTACAA